TCATCGACACGGGCAGTACTAATAACTTTCTAAACAATAAGGTTACTATCCAGATGAACTTACCTATTGAGAATCGCAACAGGTTTGACGTTAAGGTCGCCAATGGATGGATTTTGAAGTATGATTGTAGGCGCCCACAAGTGAAACTATTGCTGATCATGAGGCCATGCTTATAATTAAATATTTCTTCCTTCTCCCTCTTGATGATCATGAGGCCATGCTTATAATTAAATGGTTGATGACATTAGGTGATATTTCTTAAAATTTTATGTAATTAATTATGAAATTTTACAGTAAGGAGAAACAGGTGATACTGAACGGGAAACGTGGGGGTGACGTAACAACGATTTGCACACAACAAATGGAGAAGGTTTTGCATAAAGCATACAGTAGATTTTTGATACAACTTGAGCATCAAACTAAGAGAGAGCCAATAGAATTTGAAGATTCAAACCTACTTCCTTTGCTTACTAAATTTTCAGATATATTTGACGAACCGTATAACCTATCTCTTACCCGTCGGCATGATCATTATATGACGATTCTTTCAGGCAAACCTCTAGTAAATACTCGGTCATATCAATATCTACATCTTCAGAAGGATGAAATAGTAAGGATTGTAAAAGAGATGCTCGAAACATGAGTTATTCCGGCAAGTTGCAACCTCTACTCTTTACCGGTGTTACTTGTACGCAAGAAGGACGGAACATGGCGAATATGCATTGATTACCGAGCTCTCAATGGTATAACCATCAAGGACAAATATCTTATTCCAATAACAGATGAATTGCTAGATGAAAGGGAGCATAAATCTTCACAAAGCTGGACCTTTGATCCGGGTATCATCAAATATGAGTGTGCAAAGAAGATATACCGAAAACCACCTTTTGAACACACAACAACCACTACGAATTTTTGCTTTCTTCAATAGAAGGTGGAATATCTTAGGCATATCATATCAGAGGAAGGTGTGACGATGGACCCCTTCAAAATTGAAGCAATGTAAAACTGGCCTACCCCGAGGAACATAAAATTGCTACATGGCTTTCTGGGTTTAACAGGGTACTACCGTAAGTTCGTAAAAATCTATGGAAAGATCAATGCACCACTTACTTTCTTACTGGAAAAAGATGTCTTCCAATGGTTAGACAGAGCCTCTGTTGCCTTCGATAAACTTAAGACAGACATGACGACGACGCTAGTGCTAACACGACCAGATATCAACCGACCCTTCATTATTGAGGCCGACGCATCTGGAGTCGGAATTGGAGTCATTTTCATGTAAGATGGTCGACCACTCGCATACACTAGCAAGGCATTATCTCCCTCCCATCAAAATAAGTCAACATATGATAAGGAGATGCTCGCCATTGTGCGCGTAGCAACGAGGTGGAGACCCTACTTGATTGGTCGACGATTTCAAATTAAAACCGACCATAAAAGCCTCAAGTACTTTTTAGAGCGAAAGATATCATCCCTTGAGCAGCAAAAATGGGTAACAAAACTTCTGGGATTTGATTATGAAATAACTTACAAAAAGGGGAGATAGAATGTTCTTGCAGATACGCTTTCGCAACTACCCAAGCAAGTTGAAGTTTCGGCCATTTCACTTCTGACCAGCGACTTCCTTGAGGATATTAAGATGGAATGGCAGGAAGATTCAGAGACTAGTAAGATTATAAAAAAATTGGAGGAAGCACCAAGCTCCGTGGCTCATTACAATTGGGACTCAAAAGAATTACACTATAAGGGACGCATTGTGCTTATGATAAATTCTACTTGCATCTTCACGAGCAGATTTTGGACAAAGTTATTCCATATGCAAGGTACTAAATTGAAAAGGAGTACGGCATATCACCCACAAATCAACGGCTAGACAAAAATTGTAAATAGGTGCTTGGAGACAGCCCAAAGCCACCCACCAAATATGACTATCCAAGGAGAACTCCAGACCCAGCCAAGTGCTATTATTGATCGACGGATCGTGACTCGACGATGACGACCCACTACTAAAGTGCTAATACAGTGGGTGAACCTACCAACAGAAGATGCCACTTGGGAGAACTATGACGACTTGAAGATCAAATTCCCAAAATTCATGAATCGTCAGCCTCGAGGACAAGGCTGATTTGAAGAGGACGGGTCTGTTTGGACTCTAGCTATGAGAGTCCTAATTGAGAGGGACATTCATTTAAAACCTACCTAAGCCGACCCCTATTAAAGAGGTGAAGAGGCCGACTAGGGTTAGGAGTTTATTTCTTAGATATGAATTAGGAGTTATAAAGGAATAGGAGTCTTGAGTAGAAGTCGAGTTGGTTAGAAGTAGGAGTCTTGAGTAGGAGTCCTACTAGGAGTTAGGGTTTAGAAACCCTATAAATAGTCATGTATTTCTTCTCTTTTGATAAGTAATAGATGAATCTTTTCTACAGCCTTTGAGCAGCAACTTGGAGGGAGGAACCCCTATAGAGTTTCAAGGAGGCCGATCCCCTAAAGAGATCAACCCCAAGTTTAGAATCTGTAAGGGTTCTAACAAGATCCAATATCCATTAAGCCATGGGTTATTGGATGGAGATCCAATACCCAAAAAGAAGGATCCATTAGGATTAGTTAAAGGAGACTCTCTATAAATAGGAGTTGAAAGTAAAAGGGTTACAGGCTAGACCCTACCACCTTCTTCATCTCTCTCTACAATTTCCTCCAACCGATTGCCCCCTCTTTAGTGTTAGAGGATAACAAGAGGGATCAATCCCTTCTTGGTTGTTGTGGTTTGGTGGTGTGCGAACGCGAAAAAAGTATGTGTTGCGCGATAAGGTGCATCATCGTCGTATCTGCTATGTGGATCATCGATAAAGAGGAGTTTGCAATAGCTCCTTTATCCACGGATTGAGATCTTCATATTATAGGATATACGATCTTCGAACATCTCAACTACTATATGTTGTTATCCACTTTTTATCATCTTCGAGTTTTATGTTCTCGATCTTGATTCGATAAATCTATTTTCAGAAAACTAGTTTTTATTTTTATTTTTCACAAATGATGCTTTATATGGTTTTGCAACAATTTGATCGTTAAAATTAGAGATTCAATCAGAAGTGTTTTGAATGTTTGATAAAAGTGTTGCCCTTGGTTTGCCCGGACCAAGTGCTTCTGTTTGCTTCTTTTTACTTGTTTTACTATGTTGTTGGACTTATCCGAGGTTTGAGGCTAGCTTTTATGAATGTGATGATAATTGGTTATGAAGATATAAATGTCATGTTATAGCTATTGGCAAAGTTAATTTTTTAATTTTTACAATCTCATTTATTGTATATTCCTAATTCATGGGACAAGTGGTGATGTGTTTGACCATTACCCATTATGTCTAGGGCGAAGGTATTTTACTAGAAGAAGCTATTCCATCATCGCCTCTAACATTAGATTGACTTGTGACATTCGGAATCCATGAGTACAAGCTGTGTGTTTTTGTAACGTGGAGTTATAATCCGCTGATCATTTTTGTTTCGATGCTCTTTTTCACTGACCTTTTACTCTATTAAAAGGGAGAAACCAATCACTAGTCGGATCAAACTAAATTGGGTTGGGTTCCAAGATTTAGATAGCCTGAGTTGGAAGCCTCAACTCTCAGGTGGCTTCCTCCGGTCGCGCATCGACGCTGAAGTCCACTCGGCATCAACGACTAGGCTGAGATCAGAAGAAGCCTATGGAGGGTGAGAAGCTATGTGATTGAGGTAATATTCTTATCTTTCTTTGCCCAATTTCCAAGATGTTACAGGAAATCTGATCCATTTTCTGATAAATCTGTGGCTGTATTTCTCATCCAGGTGCTTTGTACTCTGAACTAACAAGGACGACCGGGTGGCCTTTCTGCAGAAGATAAGCTTCACAACTCGAAACGTAGCAGAACCTGGTGAAGGTGAGAAAAGAAGAAGGATACTTCATCGTTATTGTCAGATATCGGAGGTCTCAACAGGACTCGAGTGTGTGTGTGATGGCCATACGTTTTCCAGTTTCTCCACGCTCGTTTCATTCTAACAGCCATGGCTGCTGCCTATCCGACAATAATTATCGGATTCGTGTTGATCCGACCCGATAGCAGCTTTAAATGGATGGACGACGTCGAACCTATTGCAGTAGGTGGGGGAGGACCACTCACCTAAATGGGCAATGAATGCGTCGAGATGGGGGATGCCATTCCTCGTGGCATGTCAGCATTAAAAGCTTGGATTGGCTACATATATTGCACAATCCACTCCCAAAAGCATCTTGCTCTCTTTACTCCCCCTTCATCTTCCTCCCCCAATGATTACGTGCCGCTCTTCTGTTTCCCGATGCGTAATCTAAGCTTCAAAGACTCTCTACTTGTTTTAGATGATGCTTGTAAAAGGAAAGAAACAAGAAACTATAAACTATAATTTTTAGTTATGCCCGCATAATTTTGTCATTGATGTACATATGTTTTCCATGTACGTCAAATAGTACGAGTTGATTTGGACCCAACGACGACGATGATAACACCATCATCGCAGAATTAAGCAGAGGTCCGAAGCTTAAACCGTCGCAACGGGGTATAATAGCGGTGGCAGTTCGAAACGGTGATGGCGTCGGGTCATTGCCATGGGGACGACCAACAACTGCCTTCCAGCTGTCATCTGAGCCCATGTTGGTGGCTCCTGTCGTGACTCGCACAGATGTGTCGGCTTGTCAGATTACGCTGACACGAACTTGAAAATTGATGGGTGAAAGTTGATGCACGAAGTCGATAGGGCGACATGTATCACCGACACGCTCTTGAAGGTTGTAACGGGCTCGTACTTCCGTTACCACACCCATCTCTCAATAATCGACCTGATGTGCGTACATATAACGAAATTTACGATATATAACCAGATCATACCATATATCAGGTGCCGATAAGCTGACCTGGCATACCATATATCTGTGCTTCTCCCATTTAAATACCCCGTCCCCTTGCGCCCACTCGAACTTTTTGACTCCTCCCTCTCTCTCTCTCTCTCTCCGTGCTGCGAGTACAGCACCTTCCTCTCCGATGGTGGGAACCAAACGTTAAGGAAAACCTAGCCGACGCGATGGTGGGTGTGGAGCTCCGTAGCTCTTCTTCCTACTCCTCATTCGTCCGGCTCGCCTGCCTTCTCTGCTTCCTCGCCGCCGTCAGACCTAGTGACGCCGGCGACTTGGATCTGCTGATGTCGTTCAAGGCCGCGGTCGCCAACCCTCAGCTGCTACCGAGTTGGGATCCCCTCCGGGGTCCTTGCTCCTTCGCCGGGGTCACCTGCAGCGTCGGCGGCCGCGTCTCGGTCGTTGAGCTGCAGGGCGTCCCTCTCGGCGCCGACTTCCGTGCCGTGTCGTCCTCGGTACTGGCCCTCGGCGGCCTCGAGAGCCTCTCACTCAGCGCTGTCAATCTTACCGGAAACGTCGCCGGGACCCGCTGCGGCGGCGGGCTCTCCGAGCTCGATCTCTCCGGCAACGACCTCCGGGGATCCCTTGCCGACGTGTCCTCTCTGGCCGCTGCTTGTTCTGGGTTGAAGTCTCTCAACCTCTCCGGCAACTCCGTTGGGATTCCACCTATGGCGGCCGGAGATGGTCTCGCCGTTGCTGGGTTCGACCTCGAGGAGCTTGACCTCTCCTTTAACGAGATCTCCGGCGAGGACGACCTGCGGTGGCTTCTTTCCAACCTCGGCGCCCTCCGACGCCTCGACCTGGTCGGAAACCACCTCTCCAGCGGGATCCCAGCCATCGCCAACTGCTCCTACATTCAGCACCTGGACCTCTCATTGAGCGGCCTCTCCGGCGAGATCGGCGTCGGTGTCTTCGGCGGCTGCCGGAGCTTGACCTACTTGAACCTGTCTTCCAACCACTTCACCGGCACTCTACCCTCCGACCTCTCCTCTTGCACTTCCTTGTCCTCCCTCAGCCTCTCCAGCAACAATTTCTCCGGTGAGTTCCCCGTCGACACCCTGACCGCGATGCCGTACCTTGCAACCCTTGAGTTCGCCTTCAACGACCTCAACGGCAGCCTCGGGGACTCGATCACGCAGATGCCGATGCTCCAAGTGCTCGATCTCAGCTCAAACAGGCTAACTGGGTCGATCCCCTCCGACCTCTGCCCGAACCCAGCCTTCGCCTTGAAGACGCTCTACCTCCAGAATAACCAGCTCACCGGCAGCATCCCCAAGTCGCTGAGCAACTGCACCAGGCTCGTGTCCCTCGACCTCAGCCTCAACTATATCACCGGAGCCATTCCTTCCGGTCTGGGCTCGCTCCCTTCCCTCCGTGATCTGATCATGTGGCAGAACCTGCTCGAGGGCGAGATCCCACCGGAACTTACCAACCTCCTGTCCCTCGAGAATCTCATCCTCGACAACAATGGCCTGACCGGGTCGATCCCGGCTGGCTTTGCCGGTTGCACTAGCTTGAACTGGCTTTCTCTGTCGAGCAACCACCTGAGTGGAACGATCCCTTCGTGGATCGGCCAGCTTCATAACTTGGCAATCCTTAAGCTCGGCAACAACTCCTTCTCCGGCCAGATTCCGCCCCAGCTCGGAGACTGCAGGAGCTTGGTCTGGCTGGACCTCAACAACAACCAACTCAGTGGATCGATTCCGCCAACCCTTGCCAACCAGTCCGGCAAAATCGCGGTCGGCCTGGTCACCGGCGAGCCGTACGTGTACCTCAAGAACGACGGGACCAGCGGGTGCCGCGGGACGGGCAACCTCCTCGAGTTCGCCGGGATTCGGCCGGAGGACCTTGACCGGTTGCCCAGCCGGCGGTTCTGTAACTTCACCAGGGTCTACAAGGGGCTCACACAGTACACCTTCAACAACAACGGCTCCATGCTCTTCCTCGATCTTTCCTTCAACCAGCTGAGCGGCAAGATCCCCAGGGAGCTCGGCAGCATGTACTATCTTCTGATCCTGAACCTTGGCCATAACCTCCTCTCCGGTCTGATACCACCGGAACTGGGGAGCTTGCGGTACGTCGCGGTGTTGGATCTTTCACATAACGCTCTCGAGGGACCGATCCCGTCGTCCTTCGCCGGCCTCGCCATGTTGGCTGAGATCGATCTCTCGAACAATAAGCTCAATGGGTCGATTCCCGAGCTGGGTCAGTTGGCAACATTCCCTCGGTACCGGTACGAAAACAACTCGGGCCTTTGTGGGTTCCCTCTCCCATCTTGTGAGGACATCGCTGGGGCTAATTCCAGCACCCAGCATCAGAAGTCCCACCGCCGGCAAGCCTCTCTTGCCGGGAGTGTCGCGATGGGACTACTCTTCTCCCTGTTCTGCATATTTGGACTGATCATAATCGCCGTGGAGAGCAAGAAACGACAGAAGAAAAAGGATAACGGTAACTGCTCGAGGGACATCTACTTCGACAGCCGATCTCATTCCGGCACCGCCAATTCAAACTGGAAGCTCACGGCCACCAAGGACGCATTAGTCATCAACCTGGCCACCTTCGAGACGCCTCTCAGAAAGCTCTGTTTCGCTGATCTGGTCGAGGCCACCAATGGCTTCCACAATGACAGCCTCGTAGGTTCCGGTGGATTTGGTGATGTCTACAAAGCCCAGCTGAAGGACGGCAGTGTTGTCGCGATCAAGAAACTGATTCATGTGAGTGGGCAAGGCGACCGTGAGTTCACAGCTGAGATGGAGACCATCGGAAGGATCAAGCACCGCAACCTGGTTCCCCTTCTGGGCTACTGCAAAGTTGGAGAAGAACGGCTCTTGGTGTACGAGTACATGAAGTACGGGAGTCTAGAGGATGTCTTGCATGACCGCAACAATGTTGGGATCAAGCTGAATTGGGTAGCGAGGAGGAAGATTGCTGTGGGAGCAGCCAGAGGCTTAGCATTCTTACACCACAACTGCATTCCTCACATAATCCACAGAGATATGAAGTCCAGCAACGTTCTGCTTGATGAGAACTTAGAAGCCAGGGTCTCGGATTTTGGGATGGCGAGGCTGATGAGTACGGTGGATACGCACTTGAGCGTGTCAGCGCTCGCCGGCACCCCTGGTTATGTCCCACCCGAGTATTACCAGAGCTTTCAATGCACCACCAAGGGAGATGTTTACAGTTATGGTGTTGTCTTGCTCGAGCTACTCACCGGGAGGCGGTCGACAGACTCGACCGACTTCGGGGACAACAACTTGGTGGGGTGGGTCAAGCAGCACTCGAAGATTAGAATAAGTGATGTCTTTGATCCGGAGCTATCGAAGGAGGATCCTTCTCTGGAGCTGGAGCTGTTGGAGCACCTTAAGATTGCTTGTGCCTGCCTTGATGATCGGCCATTCCGTCGGCCAACCATGCTAAGGGTGATGACAATGTTCAAGGAGATACAGGCAGGTTCATCCATGAACTCCGTGCCTTCGGCTCCTTCAGCCTCGACCGCAGCGGATTTCTCGTAGAGTTGGAGATGAATTCAAAGACTGGGGATGATTCTTACCAGAGGAAGCAACTGATTGCATCCAGTAAGGCGTTTTGGCCTTTTACCTTAGCAGTGGTATGAGAAAAACTCTTGTGTAGCTTCAGTCTAGATCATATTATACACCTATAAAACAATGCTATTTATATATATATTTTTTCCTTCACATACTTCGAACTTAGTGTCTTGTCACAATTTCTGTACATACAAAGTGAATTTTCTTAAATTCCTGTTCCACTCTCTATAAGTGCTTTTGTCTATTAGTTGATCATTAATGATTATGTTTGTTTCATCTGCATCACAATATACTATAGTGTTTCTTCTTCTTACCAAATACTTTTATAAGTAGGGATTGGGAAAGAAATCTGCATATGTTGATGTTTTGACACTCTATTAGAAATGTTTGAAATTTCAAAAAGTTACTGTTCTCTGTAGAAATCAATATTTACAATTTTTTTTCTGTTCCTCTTTTGTTCTTATAAAAAAAAATTATAACAGAATAATTTTTTTTTCTTTTTTTTCTATTAAAATAAGTTCTTCATCAAAATATTAATTTGTTATAAAAAATAAATATTAATCATAGTAGCATAAACAGTATAATAATTATTCAATCATAAAGTGAGACATCGAATTTTTTACATGAAAAATCTATTGCGAGAAAAAAATCACAGGACCATAGTAGTTTACTTCAAACTTCCGCTATCACTAATAATGATAACAGTTTTACAATAAATTTTTTCTATAATAACTAAAGGATCACCCTAATATATATCAAGAACACATGATCCAACCCTAGCCCCTCTTTCTCCGGCCATTACTGGTCAAAGATTGTTCTAGGATTTTGTCACTATCGAAATATCTTTTGTCTACTAAACAATGAGAAGGCTATCGAGATTTTGTTAGTATCATAGTCATTAAGCTAGTACAAGCTATAGAGAGCCATTAAGCTTTAGTATCACAAATGTCCAAATGGATGTTGATGTGCAACAACAGATTAAAGAAATCGTCAAGACAGTGAGATCCATCGTTTAGCTATGATTTTTCCCTCGCTCATGTATTGGAGCTTCATCTATATTTGTTGGTTGTCAAGGTGAAGCAGAGACTAATCTCTCAAGTGGAGGAAAAGAAAGATTCAGTTCGAAGTACATGATACTGTGTTGGAGCAGAGGAGTGCCATAATTCATACACAGTGTCAAGAGAACAGTTGTGTCACAACGCAGTTGAACATTGGAAGAACATGACGTTAAATCTTCCCAAGCATGGAGAAAAGTGGCTATTTAATATTCGCATCATGTCCTTTTATGTCAACATGATCGATGAGCTCCTTAATATAATTGGATGACCTGAGTACTTGAGACTGATATCATTGCCTTCCACAGGAGTGAAAAAAGCATGATGCAGTGGAACCGAGGGCATGAGGGTGGCTGAATTGGCCAACCTTGTCCTCTAGCTAATCGATGCATCCATGAAACGGAATCTTATCATGGACGGACTCCATGGCTGTTCCCTCGAGCTACTGTGACCCGGTTGATGGAGACCTTCAGAACAAGTTGATGCAAATGGATGGTAGTACTGGAACTACAACTTTTGAATGCTTCTTCTCTTAGGAAGAAGATGGAGAAAAGACGGAGGAAGGGCGAGTTGGTACATCAATTTCTGGTTGTTCTTCAGCCGTCTCTTGTAACTTAGAATTGAGGCGAGGAGATGAATCGATGAGCATCAGCAAGTGTGGGAATAAAGCGACGGCCGGGGCTACAGGGGAGGGGAGGGGAGCGGAGCCGCACATGGGCGTGTCGACGGGAGGAGCTTGCTTGCCCCCCGCCCAACCTGCAGGCTAGAAGGCTGTCATCATCTGCCTTTTCTTGGAGCTTCATCTCTTCGTTCGTGGGGGCAACTCGTGCTTCCAATCCCTTTCGTGACTGCCACAGCTCACCTGCATGTCTCTTTAGAGAGAGAGAGAGAGAGAGAGAGAGAGAGGAGGAGGAGGAGGGCAACTCGATGAATCAAATATAATTTCAGTGGGTTGGGGTTAGGCCGAACCGGAGTCGGACCGGACCGGCCCGCTCGTCCACGTTCCGACACGTGGCGGGAGACAGGGGAGTTGATTGGAAAGGTCATGGAGATGGAGACGGGACGCGGGATTCACTGTAACAAAGCACAATTATTTGGTCGGACGGCGAGTTCGTCCAACCCAGCCATGTTGCAATGCAGAACGAGGACGAGCTCCTGTGCTAAGTAGTACTACCACTGCTCCTCTGTGCAAGCATGGGTTTCGAGAGAGAGAGAGATATAACATTCAGCTCGTGAGCAGTAAACGGGCTTTGGTTGCATTGTAAGATTTTTCTTTAGCATTCTGGAATATGTTTTGCCCATCACCAGTCTCCATCTTTGAGTTGTCTCTCCTTCCCACCTGCTTTAGCGTTGGCCTAATCTTACTGTGATCTTTGCTTCGATGCCTTGTCCTTGTAGAGGTCCCACCCCTCTACCATCTTTTTATCTTTGAGACAACTCCACCCAACTTTAAATTGCCTTCTCAGCTTGCTACGTATTCTTTGTCAACATATTAAGAATGTAAATGTATATGACTGCTCTCATGTTGTTTTCTTTGTCCCTTGTTGGAGGACTAGCATTCCTTCTCTCCCCCTTTTCATTCTTTCTCCCCTTCTCATTCATTATTTTATGGACGATGGCTTCAGTCTCATGTTTCTTCTGACCCAGTCTTTCTGGCAACTCTGTGTGATTCTTATTCCGAACAGCAACAAGTATCATCACCTACGCTGATTTGTTACTCGAGAAATCTTAATGCCTGTTTCACTAAGAAATTTGATGAGAGTGTTGGGGATGGAGGAGCAAGGAAAAATAGAATACTACGATATGAGTAAAAAGAATCCTTTCGACTCAAGAAAACTGTTGTAGTATTAAAAGCAACACTTACAAGATACCAAGTGCACACAGCCTCTTTATCTATCCTGTCTCTTTCTCTATGTCTTGCTAGATGAACTACGGTCCTATTTATAGGACCTAGTGACAACCACCCTATAACTACTAGATCATGAGGTAGTTATTGAAACCACCTTATAACTACTAGATCATGATTGAAGTGGTTATTGAAATCATCATGTAATCATTAGATCATGATAACAATCTAGATAGATACTATGAATCAAATCTCAACAGAGAGCTCGTCATAAAATTTATATGAATCACAATCTTTCATACACTTGATATAAAATCAAAATTGTCATGGAAGAAGCTTGATTTATAGGAGCCAAGTGCTGATCTGATATATCATACTGCAAGTGACAGTTCAAAATCCAGCTCAGGTTGATCAGCGGAGGAATGGAGCATGTCATCTATGGTGTCAACCAAGATGAGAGAGCTCACCACATCTTCCATGCACATTCTCCTCGCACACATTACTCATAATCAGTGCTATCAACCACCGAAAATGGCCTGTCAGTTTCGTCATGTCCATCAGTAGAAGCTTTCTGTATGTATCCCGAAAGCGCTTCGACACTTTTTCTTTAGAGCATCTTCTTAATCTTTCAAATAGTTCATTCGGTCATGAAATCCATGGTTGCTACATCCATCTCTTCAAATGCATGTTTAGATAATACAATTCATTTTGTTGTGAAACAAGATGAAAAGATTAAAAAAAAGGATAGAAAATAAAAAAAAGAGATATGGGTTTTTTAAAGATAACTAAAAATTAGTAGCTCAAAATATAAAAATTAATAAGGTCATGACTCGAGCCTGATGGGCTAATTGGCTTATTAACTTCGTTTAATCTAAACCACTGACCAAAATAATTAAGCTTAAATTGATAATAATACACTCATCAGACCCTTATAAGCCAATCTTAATCTTGCTCACTTTCGATGGGACTAATCAGGAGTGTTACAATACATTGTATTTTGATGATTTTAAATTTTTTATAAATATCTCAAGATACAAATTATTTTCTTAAATTTTGATAGTGTTGTTGAAATTTATTATCTTAAAACTTAGGAGCATTCAATACTCATCATGTAATATATCATTCTCTCAAAGAATTTATCCATGAATAGCAGATAAGATTTCTCTCTACTCTGTTAAGGGAAATGCTCTATTCTGTTGAGGAAAATCCTCCCTCCTAATGTGTATAAATAGGAGAGGGACATATTAATATATTCAAGCTTGCTTATTCTCGTGGTGCCTGTTGTGCGAAGGGTTGTCCATTCCTCTGAATGTCAAACTCATATGCCCGCTCCTCCGAGCGACTCCTTTTCCCCACATCTCCATGCCCGTTTTCCCCCAAACGATCGCACGTGTACGACTGCCCTTAACGTAACCTCGCTAGGTCCCCCACGTTTGTACGTCAAGTGTTTCTATGAGTGCTTGTCCCGCTCTGATACCATGTTGGAAAGAATAAAAGATAAGAAGAATTATTGAAGAAGCTTTACTGAAGAAGCTTGAATACATTAACATGTTCCTCTCCTATTTATACAGATTATGAGGGAAGATTTTTCTCAACAGAATAGAGTATTTCCCTCAACAAAGTAGAGAGATTTTCTCGTATAGTTGGAAAAATCTTATCTACTATCATGCCCTCGTAAGATGGTGCTCCTGTCAAGGATATCAATCTTGGATCGATGCAAAACAAACAGTTTATGAGCCAGAGGCTTCGTGAGTAGGGCAAGAGCAGATCGTTGCTACTGTTATTGCTATTACTGCGGCTATGACGATGATGGTGACTGTGGCGGCTGCGATGGCGATGGCGGCGGTTACAATAGAGTAGAAAGCTGCATTAAGATAGAAAGCTATAGCAATGCTATATTAGAGGAAGAAGCCGTAGCATAGGAGGAAGCTGCAGTAATGTTGCAGTGATGCTACAGTAGAGGAGGAAGCTGCAGCGATACTACAGTAAGGAAAGAGTTCCCCTTTGCTATGTAGAGATAAGAGATGTGATGAATGGCAAGCTTCGATGGCCGTAGAGTCTCGTTCGTCTCACCTACTCTGATACCATGTGTCATGGACTTAGCTGATTTTGCCTAATTCGTGCAACACCCTTGTATGTCCGTCCACAATGATTAGCCTCCCATGGTCCCTTAGGACCATGGTTGGGGAAATCTTATCTACTATCAATTGCCATGGTAAACTGATAAATCTTGAATGTTAAGTGTTGAGTGAGTATGAATATTAAGAGAAAGTTTAATCTTATAAGCATTGTCATTAAATCTCTTGAAAACTTGGCAAAAATTAATTTTCTTCTCTTTGAGTT